CTAAGAATGGGCTGAGAGAGTATCTTAACAGAGTTAATATACATTTTGCTTTTTATAATTAAAAGCTATCGACTCTATTCTTTCATCTTGTAATACTGAGAAGAAATTTATTTAATTTAAGCTGTCAAATGATGTCATGACTTACATTTTCCCTAAAATGTGATATATATATATATATATATATATATATATATATATATATATACGCAAAATGAAACACTAGTTTTCTGAAATGCCTTGTCCACAATCTGCTAGCCACTATACATATTTGCTTATAAAGCTTGCGAATTAAGACAATATCGAGGCAATACGCATAGTGTGCATATATGCCAATAACAGGCTGATCAATTTCAGTCTTAAGCCTCAATGAGAAGATTCAAGCAAACAATACCAAGTGAATGCCATGATTTGTTGTGATTAAAAAAATTGTTTGTAACTCTCGAATTCTATCCAAATCACTTAAGAAATGAAGGATTCAAACGAATGACAATATGTAAACATCAAAATGAATACAAATTGTTACGTTGATTAATCTTAATCTTCAAAACAATTGATTCTAATATCTTCTTTCTATGGTGGTAAGTAATATGATGATTGCTTGATAACAGTACCTGGATTAGATGACATAAGTTTGTTTTTCCCATTCTACTGATTTAAAATAAGTAGATTTGATTAATCTCAAGATTTCTTATTTTTGTTTAATTTCCTATTGAATAACTTCATTTGATAATTTATTATATTTGTTGTTGATAGTAAAATAATTTTTTGTTTAGTTTTCTTTTTGAGTTATGCTGTTAAATAGATGTACTTGCAGTCCAGTTTTGATGTTGATGTCCATTGAACAAGTTAACAACTATCTGAACTCAGTAGCTCAGTGAATAAAGCGTTGAGTGTTTGAGGCAAACGGTACTAGGTACCAGTCACGGTAAGAATACCAATAGTTGAATGCATGCACACCTAGCTAATTGGCTTTGAACAGGATGGAATTTACGTGATGGACTTCACTGATAGCTAAAATACTTCGATTACTCATAATGTGTAATAATTTATTTTAAACAATGGTTCAGCTAATTAAAGAATATAATTAAAGAAATATCGTGTACTCTATTATAAGAATGCTTCTATTCAAAGTATATTAATCATTATCTATTTATTGTACACATGTTTTGTTTGTTTGTTAATTTAAAGTATGTAGAAATATTTATATTATCAACTTTGCTATTTCGAGTCAATGTGTGTAGATCCAGTTATTTACTAGTTACTAATTATGGGTATTTTGTCTTAGAAACTGACATTAAATAGAACAAAATAATGACACGTATTTCTGTCTGAGAATGTCACAAAGAATTTGCAACAAAAATAGTAACCTAGTCTATAAAAATTCAAACGTACAATTTGTTGATGATGGTCATGTTACTGACATTTTTAATATTTGCGAATAAAATCACGAGCCATTCTAGGCTAGACCTCCATTGGAAACGTGGAAGCAATGGATGGTTTCTTCGTTCTAGTACGGAACTCCTCAGTACTGCGCACCCATAATTCCACAAGTGAGACTCGAACCTAGGACACTTGATCCCGGACACAAACGCTTAACATCTGAACCACTGGGCTTGCATCTAAGAATCCAAATGTCTAACTTCAATCAATTCACGATCTTGCACAACCCTTCATCCATTGGTTGTGGTGGATAACTGTCTCACACCCGGTATGGATGGAAATTGATTGTTCACGGTCTCTGATTACCACTCCTGAAATTACATCTTCATGCTAGTCACTATTGAGCACATTTTTAATTTGTTAACAAATCACTAATAAACGTAGACATACGAATTGTCCCTAGCTTTTATTAACTAAACAAAAAATACAAACCTAATAATTCATCTCAATCACTAGCACAGCCTAACCAAAACTAAGGGAGTTGAAAATATGCGAGTTATCTCGATTCTTTAATTTCGTAACCATTATTGACACAATTCATTCTGAGTGACAGATATTAGCTGATGCGCTGATTTTTACCTACTAATATTCATGAAGAGCAACTGTTCTGTAGAAAGGTTTTCAAGTGTTAGAAAAGGTAAGGTTGTTATATATTGCACTTAATAGATGAAAATTTCCGAAAAAGTTTTCAAAATGCACAATACCTGGAAATTTTCAAGATTTCCCTTCTATTAAATTTAAAATTCATTGTGCTAAATGTTTTTGAAAAGAACACTTACATTTAGTCAGACATCTTGTTTAATGGTACATTTAATCGTCAATGTGTTGATGGGATATTTAGATATTTGCTTTTGCAAGGATTCAAGCAATGGGATAAATTATTAGTATCTGAGACATCAACAAATATTTTCTGCTCCAGTCTAAATATTTACCAAAATATGAATTTCTATGTATCAGTAAACTAAGAGAATAATAGCATTTATGTAACTGACAAGAGGCAATCGATTGTAGCGAAATAATTATCCCGATTATGTCAGGCGTGATGCTCGTCTGGTGATAACTATTGAGACTTAACGGCGAATATCTGGTCAAATAACCTAATATTCAGTTTACAATTTACGTAGTTAGTATAATCTTACCATGTTAATCAGGGCAATGGTATTTTAATGATATTCAAATAATCACTGGAGTGTGAAAGTGATTCCATTGATATAGAGCAACTGTGTTTAAAGTTTGATAATTCGGCTGAACATTCCACATCCAGTGAGCTCTAATGGAGTTGCTGCAACCACTTATTTAGCAATATGAAGGTTTGATTGTTGTAAAAGATACTGTTAAGTACTGTATTATTGGTAATAGAATAAAATAATATCATTGTAGGTTAAATGACAAATCAAGCAATTAAAATTGGAGAAAAACTAAGAGGTACTTTTATTCATTGGTTGCTTGGAGGCAATATATAGGAGGCCATGGACTAAGGTTTCATGCAAGCTAAAATGTCAGTGAATAGTCTTTCGAACCTTGGGGGAACTAATAGTTAGTGAGGAAAGCAAACCCTCTCTACCCTATATTTCTGTCAATGAAGTTAGCACTGAGCTATTTCGGCCGCAACTGATTCACTGTTGGGCTCAGCGAGTAAACTGTTTCATAATCTAATGGTAATTGTCATCTTAGTACCTAGATCTCATAGACATTCAAATTCTATCAACTACGTTGTCATGTAACGACTAATAGAAGTGACGAATATCGGCTATACCAAAATGATATTATAAGGCTACCCGCTGCTCATAGTAACAAACTAATATCACACGGAGCGCATCCCAATCATAACTCACTTAAGCCAATAGACAAATTGCAAATCGACTGATAGAATTTAGTCTTCCACGAGAATCAAACAGCAAGAATTTGGTTACTCCTAAGTGACTATTTTGTTTAGATCTGTCAATATCTTAATAGTATGTACATTTTCATGCTATTTTATCTAAGGAATACTTGCCTTCTGTTGATTTGAAAAAACCCCGGTTCTATCGTATGTGCAAGAAGAATTTTAAAGAGTAATTCAATTCAGTAAAAAATATGTAGTTGATATCACAAAGTGAGTTTTACTTTTAAAAGCTAGAATAGCTAAAAAAACTTTTATGCTATTGTATTCGTTATTTCTAAGTCGTACATTTACGACTACCCAGAAGCGTACATATTAGTAGCATTAGATGTGTCGAGAGCCATGTATATTTAAAAGGTCCAAAATGTGCGTTTATTTCTATTGTTGAATATAATACACAATAGTTGAGTTTCGGGTATCAATTGGATTTCTTGAAGTCTTCAGTTATAAGTGCTAGCAAGAATAAATTGAATAAATAGAACTCCATGTGAAGTTCAACAGATTCATCTTCCTAAGCAAACAATTTTTATCTCATTTATTTCGTCTATTTTATTTATTTTTGAGTACAGTTTATAACGTATAAAGCTATTCAATATACAGAGAATAAGAATAAATTTGAATTTAGAACAGTTATACATAATATGACATTTCAGTATGAAATCAAACAGTAACAAAGCATTACAAATATAGTATTCATATTACCAGGCTGGGTAACCTTCTCATTCTACTATGAAATCATCAATCATATACTTTGAATGTAAGTTTGGATCAATATTTAAAACTGATTTGACAACAGTAAATCTCTAAAATAATCACATCATTGATGATATACCTTGATGTGATGTAATCTGTTATGCGGCAAATTATTTATTTAGTAAATGAAACCTAAAATGCTGGGCTTGAATTTCTACATACACTCTAGTACAGATACGTATCAATGATTTTTTTCGTATTTGTGAAAGTATAACTAATGATACAGAGATTATAAGACTTGTAAGTAAACTCGTATTATAAAATGATATCAACTTGGAAACCGAATCGATACCTAGTTGTGTATTCTTATTTCTTCTGCTTTCGTTACATCACATCATTCCGAAAAGACATCGCTTTCATCTCAATGTAATGACATCAAATACTTTACGTTTTAAAAACTGACATACATGGTTGTCTACTAGTTTTGAAATGTAGTTTGATACTTCATATTCTGATTCAAACTGTTTCTTAACATAGTTTTGTTGATTATTGATGAATAGTTCTGACAAGACTGATAGGTCCTGATTTCGAATCTCATGGAGCGCGATCGTGGATGTACACTGCTGAGTAGTCTTATACTAGGATGAAGCGGCCGTTCAATGCTTCAAGGTTTTCCATGGTGGTCTAGCTTCAATGAACTCATAAATTCAATTATTAAATTACTACAATCTTCACAAAACCCCTCAATGCTCAAGATCTATTTAGCTTTTTTGTATAAAATCTTTCATCAACTTTGCAAAATATTATCGACTATAAATAGAATTAATCGCAAACTTTAAACACCCACATTCTACGACCTAGAGTAAAAAAACAAACAAAAAATATGTATTTTGTTACATAATAATAATAATAGTAATAATAATAATAATCAAATAATGCTACTAAAAACATCGGCGTATCACACATGATCTAATTTTTTAAAATCTAATAGTAAATCATAATTGATCCATTGAATATACAACATATACAACTATATAAGCATACAAATGAAATTTGTTTAAAAGTATTCTCAACAATATAAATACTTCTCACTAAGAATAAAACGTATTGAGTGAGTACTTTGTAAACAATCGAAATATAAACATTTTGAAAGATAAATTTTAAAGGAATATTTTAATATTTATACATTATATTATACAAAAATATGCCATCTAAAAAAGAAGTTGATGAATTATTGAAAATGTTTCATGATATAGATAGAAATAAAGATGGTTATATTTCAAGAACAGAATTATTCACAAAGGTTGGCACTAAATCTCTAGATCGACAAAAAGTTCATGTAAGTTAATTGTTAAAATATTATATTATTGTTTTAAGTGTTTAATAATTTCAGTGGTTAATATCATGAGTCAGTTGAAGCTAGACCACCATGGAAAACCCGAAAGCACTGGACGGCCGTTTCTTCCTATTGTGGGACTCCTCAGCAGTGCGCACCCATGACCTCGCCTTCTGCGAGATTCGAAACCAGGACCTACTGGAGCACATAACCACTAGACCACTGAGCCGGTCGTCATCCAACGGTATTAATGTCTAACTTCAACTAATCCACGAAATTGAGCGACACATCCACCATTGTCATCATTGAGTTACTATCTCACAACAGACCTGGTTGAACTCCACTAGTCACTACTTCTCACTAGAACTCCAAGATATACCTTTTGAAGCCAGTCATTAGTGAGCATATGTTGATTAATATCAGATGGGTTTTGTGGATATTATAGTAATTTCAGTGGTTGAGATCATGAGTCAATTGAAGCTAGACCACCATGGAAAACCCGAAAGCACTGGACGACCGTTTCTTCCTATTTTGAGACTCCTCAGCAGTGCGCGTTCACGAGTTAGTAATTTTATATAGTTATTATAGTTGAAAAAGAATCAGATTCGATCGAATCACATGTGGATCACTAGTTTCAATGCTTATTATGCTGGAAAGTTACAAATAATTTTATTTATTTTTTTACTACACCGGATAATCTAACGGATACTATGCTTCCATTGTCATCCTATTAGGCATAAACATAAAGAATAATTGATTGGTTGTTATATAAGTTATCCAGAGTTTAACATACCCGATCTGGTGATTTACGTTGACTGGTCATTAAGTGAACACTAACCAACGTAATCATTATTTAGTCCTTAGCGTTGATCTCATCCTATTGTTTAAGCTTAAATGTAGACACTAGTCTTATTGATTCAGCACTACACATACTTTATTTCAACGTTAGCTGGCCAGAAATAGTTGACGGAAAACTCAGGTTCTATGTTTCATACTAGTTGTGCGACTAGGAGGTCTAGGTTCGAATGTACTTTAGTGTATCAGTTCTCTTAACATTACAGACACATCTTGTTGCCGAGAGGCAATTAGCACAAAATATAAATCGTGTTCACTTCTACCTACCTCCAGAGAAATAATAATAACACGATGGTAAAGGACGAAGTTCAAACAAATTAATAGTTGGTTTTTGACGTATAATAGGTTTGTTTATTTTATTCATAGTTAGAAGCATTTCATTTCTTTAAGGCTACTTTGAGTGGAGTTAAGTAATAAAGCTAATCCTCACATCTCATTTTATAATTCTTTATTTTCGCTTAATTGAATATATGAATTCTTTTAAAATAAACAAAAGTTTGTTATCAATTACGATTAGTCAAACTGTGTTCAATCCATACACTCTATTTGTTACATCTTTATACTGTGGTTTCAGTCAACCTTTTTATAATTTGTGTTATAGTATGAAAGTCATTTATCAAGCGTATTTATATGTTTGTGAATAAAATCTATATGAACAATGAAATTACGGTCTTATTCCTTACATATCTCATGAGAAAACATACTAGATGAAAAATCTTCATTTACAAAATTATCCAGAATAACTTAGTGATAGTATCTTGAATAATAAAACGACTTGATTTAAATGCAGATTTCAATGAGAACAGCAATTTTCTCAACACGACAGACTGACCATAATTGAAAGTAATTCGCAAAAAAAAATTGATGTCCAGTATTCTATGCAAAATACCTTCCACTAATTAATATATCACTTTTCTCCTGATAACGTTTAGGCCGAGATTTAGTTCTTATAAACGTATCATGATATATTTCATTTTTTAAAACTGTTCAAGTGCTCTACTATATGTCACTACAAATAATCGAGTTGGAAGAAAAATCAAATTTTCTCATCTTTCATGAGTTTTCATAATTAACATTAGATAAAGAAAGGTGTTTAGTAGAAGTAAAATGTTAGAGCCGCTTTAGTATGGAATCAAAATTTCGTTGATATTGTTGCTTCAAAATGTTGAAAAAGAAATAGCTTATGAGAACAAATAGGAAACTTTGTTCATTCCCTCATTCTTGACTTAAATAAACTGGTACAAAATTCGTTGGTTGTAAAATAATTGTTATCATTTTAGGTTATTTGATTTAAATGATAATTATTTACTTACTTACTTGCGCCTGTTACTTCTCGCGGAGGAGCATAGGCTGCTCACCACTACTTTTCGTCTAACCCTATCCTGGGCAATCCTTTCCAGTTGCTATTCATACTTTTCATATCTGCTTCCAATCCTTGACGCATTGTGCTCTTCGGTCTTCCACTTTTCCTTTTCACTTCAGAATGCCAATTTAGCGCTTGCCTCGTAATGCAGTTTGGTGATTTCAACAGTGTATGCTCTATCCACTTCTAAAGTTTTTTCTTAATTTCCTGCTCAGCTGAAAGCTGGTTTGTTCTCTCCCATAGAAGGCTGTTGCTGATGGTATCCGGTCAACAAACATTGAGTATCTTGTGTAGACAACTATTCATAAATACTTGTACCTTCTTGATGATGGTTTTAGTAGTTCTCCAAGTTTCAGTTCCGTACAGTGGAACTGCCTTGACGTTCTTATTGAAGATTCTGACTCTGATACTAGTTGAAAGTTGTTTTAAGTTCTATATGTTCTTCAATTGTAGGAATGCGGCCCTTGTTTTGCCAATTCCCGCCTTTACGTCTGCATCTGATCCTCCTTGATCATTGATGATGCTTCCCAGGCACGTGAAGGATTCTACATCTTTCAGATTTTCGCCATAAAGTGTGAGTGAGTTGGTGTTCTCTGCGTTGTATATGAGGATCTTGCTTTTTCCTTTGTGTATAATTAAGCCTGCTGATGCAAAAGCCGCTGTTACACTAGTTGTCTCCATCTGCATTTGTTCGTGTGTATGGGGTCGAAGGGCCAGCATATCTTTGAAGTCTAAATCGTTTAGTCGCATCCAACCTGTGGATTTTATTCTGTGTTTCCCCTCAGATGTCGAGGTCTTAATAATCCAGTCAACCACAAGAAGGAAGAGGAAGTGGGGGAGTGAGAATCTTTATCTAACACTATTCTATACTTGGAATGAATATATAAGCTGTCCTCCACACACGACCTCCAGTCTATTCTATCGTATAAATTCCTTATGATGTCGACGACTTTCTCAAGTACGCCATAGTGTCGGAGAATGTTCCATAAGGTTCTCCTATCCACACTCTGAAACGCCTTATCACAGTCAAGGGATTTGGTTTATGGTGACGAGTTCCACTCTACTGATTGTTCAACGCTGATCCGTAGTGTCACGATTTGGTCTGTGCACGATTTATCCTTACGGAATCCAGTCTGTTTATATCGAAGTTGAGCGTCTACTGAGTCTTTCATCCGGTTCAGTAACACTCTGTTGAAAAAATTTTCAGGTACTGACAGTAGTGTAATGTTTCTGTAGCTCTCACATTTACTCAAATCTCCTTTCATTAGTATCTTGAGGACGTATCCTTTCCGGTTTAACAGCACTTGTTCCTTCTCTTAAATCTTCTTGAATAGAGCGTGGGGCATGTTTGAAGTTACTTCTATGTCTGACTTTAGTGATTTGGCTGGTATATTGTTACGTCCTGCTGCTTTCCCGCTCCTGATTTGTCTGATGGCCATCCTGATTTCTTCGCTCGTTGATGGGTGACATCTATAGGAAGTTCTCTGTGTGACTGTTCTGACTTTTCTTATTTGTCCTTAACCGAACTCTGGTTTACTATATTTCCCTGCGAGTTTCTTCGTTATATCGTACAGCTGTTTCATACTTCCATCACTTGCAGCTTTTTCCGTCATCGTTGCTAGTTTTTCCACGTATTTCTGCTTGTCGGCCCTAAAGCTCTTCTTCCTTTGCTTGTTTCCTTCTGTGTACTTAGCCTATTCCTTGACTTTCTCCACTCGTGTTCGGCTGTTGCTAATTGCTGTCTTCTTGTTCTCCCTTTCTTGAATCTTGTCCATTGTTTCCATAGAGATCTATTCCTTATGACTATGTTACTTTCAGCCCGAGACCTCCTGACACTTTGAATTTTCTGCATTTTTTATATCCCCCCATCTGACCTATATCGTAGTTTTTTCTTCTTATAATATATCTTGTAAGGCTTGGAACCTGTTGTATCTTGAATTCATTAGATTTGTCATTGTCATGATAGAAGGCTGCATTAAAGCAATGTAACACTGTTTCCTCAGTTATCGAGTGCTTTTTTAAGTCCAGTTTCATCTTGGCCACATTCAGCTGTCACCTCCTCTAACGTTCTGACGTCTTTCACTGCCATTATGAATTTTTCAGCGGTGCAAATATGATGGATCTGGTTCTTTGTGGTGTGATCAGATGAGGCCCATGTAGCTTTGTGCATGCGTTTGTGTGGGAATATTGTGCCACCTTTAACAGATTCGTCGAATGCATGTAGGTCTGCGAATCTCTCACCAATCTCGTTCCTCTCTCCCAGTTCATGTCGTCCCATGAAATCTCCATATCCGGTGTTGTCTATCCCGACTTTGGCATCTAGATCTCCTATCAGGGTGGTGAGGTCATTTCATGGGCACTTCGCTATGACCGATTGCAGCCTCTCATAGAACTGATGTTTATCGTTTTTGTTGGATTGATTGTTGGGTACATAACGTTAAATAATATTCATCGTGATTGCCTCCTAGTTTGTTTTGAAGGATGCTTTGACGATTCTGGATCCGTGAGATTCCCATCCTACAAGTGCATCTCGTGCTACTTTGGACAGCATTAGAGCAACTCCTTGAGTGTATGGTGCATTTTCCTCTTCGTGACTGGAGTACAGCAGCATCTCTCCCGTACCTAACCTTTGCTGTTCAGCTTGAGTTTAATGGGCTTCGCTGATTCGGATCTCCTCATTTCCGTTGCTATTTGACTGGTCAACCTGGTCTCCTACATCGTCCGGACGTTGCATTTACCTATAACAATTGTTGTTCCGGTTGTTAGAAGTGACACCGGCCTAGTGATTTCCGAAGAATCTCGGCTTTCATCCTAAGGTGTCATAATTCTTCCGTCGACTCCTGGGGCAGAGGTTAGATTGTTTAATCTAGTTGGCATTTATTTAGTGAGATTTGGGGTTGCCGACCCCATGACCGACCCTCCTACTTTGCGCGGGCTTGAGACCGGCATTAGCTTTAGAAGAGCGACAGACGGAATTCCAAATTATTATATTTATGAAATACTGTGTATTCATTTGACATTAATATATATATTTTCTACAGACAGAAATATGTAATGGATAGTCCGAATTGTTTAAGAAATTGCTAAGCTTGCTCAAAGTCTAATTTAGATGAGCATTTTAATAATTGTGTAGTTTGGAAGTAAGCCTAATGTTTTAAGAAGATCATTAAAGTTTTAATGAGTAAATAACGCAGTTGTTAAGATACGGGTACTGGGTAAGAATGGCAAATCAATTGATGAAGTAATGAAAATTCATCATTTGAGATGGCTGAGACACGTGTTACGTATGCCCAACCACCGACTGCCTCGACGCACAATGCTCAATGGTATAGGAGTAGCTTGAAAGAAAGCTAAGAGTGGCCAGACCAAAACATGGCACAAATCCATGAAGTCACTAACAGATGGACTGAGCCATGTTGGTAGGTGTAGACTACCTGGTTGGGATCCGCTAGATGATAGCAACCGATGGTTAGAGACCTTGAATGACATGGCTCAAAATCGTTTGCAATGGTGCGAGCAGGTGAATCCACTCTTTGTGTTCTTCGAATTCTAATATTTTGAATTCGTCATGTCCCGTTTTTCCTCTTTCCAAATTTATTTCACTGGATTATGCTCCTTGAATAACATCTTTAAACCCTAATCTTTTCGATTACTGCTTATACTCTTACCGTCTCTACCATGACGGGATTTGAATCGACAACTGCATCTCTATGCTGATGTGGTGTGGCAACTCGAACTGATGTACGTACGTACGAAGTTCTACATTGTTACTGACTGATTGGTTAAAGTTTTAATAGTCAAATTTACTTATTAATAAAATAAAATTACAACTACACTCTAAATAAAAATAAGCTCAAGTCAAGGATAGGAAGAAGAACAATGGGTTTATAGCGGTTTTTTGTGCAGATGTAAATGGCAATAAAAATTGGTAGTAATATTTCAATGTCTATGAAAACGAAAGTGTAGCAACTTAGAAGAGTAGTGGATTTACGAATAGTTCATATTCAACCAGTTGTATTATTTTATTGTAGAAATAGGACTTCTAAACTTATGACTTAAAACTAAGACTAGATGAAACTAGTTTCAAGCGAAAACATTGACTCTCATATTTTAAGAATAATCATACCTGCAGATTTTATATATGCACATATTCTTTAGCACACGATGATATTTACAAAAGTTTTCATAGAATATTAATGCTGTCTTACAACTTTTATTGTGAGAAATAATCTTACTTGATATAGAATCTCTTTGATACAGAGGTCTTGGTTGTTGATAAAACAATATAATCAATAATTTTATCGTCACATGGCTTGAAATATTATGAAAAGCCCTAATAAGGCAACTGTCATAGTGTAGTGTAAAAAATTTAAAGTCTGTGTCTTTTATGGCATTAGGGAATAGCATTTACTATTTATAGTGGGTATAGGGATTTGCGGAGATTGAAGTGTTTTCACAGTTGAATTCATGAGTCGTTTCAACCTAGACCTCTATTGAAAACCTGAAAGCAATGAAAGGTCGTTTCGTTCTAGTATGGGACTACTCAGTGGTGCGCATTCATGATCCCAAACTCGCAGCTCGAACCTAGGACACTTGGTTTCGGACGCGAACGCTAAATATCTGAACCACTGAGCCCGCATCCAGTAGTGTAAATGTCTAACTTCAATCAATCCATGGTCTTTCACAACCTTTCATCTATTGGTTGTGGTGGATAACTGCCTCACACGCGGTATGGATTGAACTTGATTGTGTACTGTCTCTGATTACCATTCCTGAAGTTACATCCTCATGCTAGTCACTCGTGAGCCCACAATCATTGTCAGTATGGGAATTTATGGAGATTGTTGTTCTTTCTCAGTGGTTTGGAGTTTAAGCGCTCGCGCGCGAGATCAATAGTCCTGAGTTCGAGTTCTGCGTGTAGGATCGTGAATGTACACTACGGAGGAGTCCAAAACGTAACTGTCCTTCGGTTATTCCGAGTATTCATTGGTGGTCTTGTATAGACAAATTAATGAATTAAAGTCAGGTTTAGGTAGTGGCTAATGGTTTCGACTCATTCATCAATCAAAAAAAGCATTCAATCAGTAATTTGAGAGTTCATAGTTTTTAATTAGTTTTGGCTTCCGATTTTTTTACATTTGATTTTTTTCGTCAGATAATTAGTTTTACCATATGAATTTATTATTTATTTATTTGAACACATAAATATTGGTACAAAGGGGCAACGAATACATATGCGCTACACAAAGCACTTGATTTGTGTTTAAGTTGGGATACTACCAGGGTACCCAGACCGAAGCAGATGGTGTTCGTAAGAAGCCACACCAGGAGCCTTCGACCTAAAATTCTGATCCCTAAGCCAGTAGAGCAACGCCAGGAGATGCAGTCCTATGGTAGCCGGTGACCAATGATTGGTTCATACGCCATTTGTTCCCTTAGTATCCTGGAGCCCATGTGCACCAATGGTCTAGAATCATGGTTTTCCAACTCCTCTAGGTGGATCATCCATATCCACCAACCCAGTTAAAGCGTCGGACACTCGCTTCTATTCTTCTGAATTTGGTAAAAAACACCTCTGATGCGGAGAAGCAATGAGCAGGACTTCCCTGACAGTGGCTGTATGCCATGTGAGAGCATTTCAAACGGGAAAGTTAACTTTCCACACCCTCAGCAGTACCAGGACAGCTTTTGAAAGGATTAAGTTAATTTCGATTTTTAAATGAAACCAGTCTTTCTAAACTGAACTATATTAAGTTGATATATATATATATAATTCAAATGGTCAAGAATATCTGATAAATGCTTGAATTTCAAATATTTTAATCCACTATCTATGAAATAAGTGAGTATGCAAGATCAAGGATAATTAACTATAAATTGTTCTCATTTTTAATAAGGAATAGTTTATCCGTCTATGATTTTAATTGTAACAGAATATTTTTCATTCTCATTTAGTTTTTTATTTTTCAAACGATAGTTCACAATACTAATATGAATAGTTCTTGATCTACTGTTATGTTCTATCTTTCATAAGTCTATTAAATTTTTGTTATAATTTAGTTTATTATAGTAATCAATATTCTTAGCCTTGAAGTCAATAAATTGAAATTAATCAAGAGAAATCATGGGTTAGCATTTTCTGAAGGAAACACATTATTCTGTGACAACGATATATATATATATATATATATATATATATATATATATATATATATATATATATATATATATATATATATATATATATAATTTCTTTCTTTTACGGTTAAAATATCTGATCATGGTTCGATAAAAGTATAGAAATAGTTGATGTGATTCAGCTAACTTTGTTTGTTATTTAATACTTGAACAATAAACTACTTTTAGATCGATTATTAGCTAGTTGGCCAGGGTAAAAGGAGTGGCTGAACATACTTCTTTTGGATACAAAACTCCGGCTTTTTGATCCGAATAGCAATTGCTTCAGCCGTCTGTAGGATCTCTAATGTTTACTTTATATGTTAATTAAGTTTTTATACAAAGCATTTTAAATAGAGTATCTAAGGCATAATGTCGATTATTTGACAATGAAAAAAGATCATCTTGATATGGTATGTTTTCAAAACTAGATTATTCTAAATTAAATTAAACAACTATGGATTAGGAAATTGGATTTATGTTTGTTTGTTTGTTCTTACTTCATCCAAATGTTTATTTTGTTTTATTTATAGGAACTAATTAAATTGTTTGATATCAATGGTGATGGTTTGATAAGTTTTGGCGAATATAAATTGATATTGGGATTGACAGGTCAATCAATCGATGGGTAAGTCAAATGATCACCTAAAACTGTAATCATTCTGATGTTATATATAGTCTCAGGTATTTTTTTTCTTTTGAACACTGAAAATGATGCACACTAATATAAACTTAAGTCATTGAGTTACGCCAACACGGTTATACTGATTTCAGTAAAAGTTTTTTTAAAAAAATTATGTAGAAACTGTTATCTTATTGATTAATCTACCTAACTAACTGATCATAGGACTTTTTTACCTGTAAACATTGAATTTGCTCTCAGATTGAAACTGTCACTTGCCTGAAGGTTATTTAAATGACTTATTTTAACAAACAATGTCAATACTATTAAGGATTGTTGGGTAGTACTTTCAACCTTTTGTCAAAAAAATATGGTACATAACTTCATGTAATCACTAGTACCATAGTTACTATTTCAAGTAAGCTGATAAAATTTCGTAAGTAAAATACATTTCAAAGCTACTGAATATTAAATCACAATTAAATAATTTTCATTGTTTTATATCAGCCTAAACATTTCTATGTATGGGAAATGATCTAATAGTTGAACACGAAGAAGATCATACCCATAAAATTTAACTTGTTAGAATATAGTGTTGTTCACAGTTCGTTAAACATCCTATACAAAGTACGATATTACATTAACTTGATTCCTAATATTTAGAACTGTTTTAATAGCTCATTGGGCTAACAAATTATACTTATTCAAATAGTTGGTCTTGTGAATACATCATATTTTTATGAAGAATCATGCTTATTGAATTTTTTTAGAATAGGCTAGTTAATGATATGCTGAATGAAACGTGATTGTAGCCTTAATTGTTAGATAACAGCTTAATTATAGATGAATATCTTTTGTCATATTTCTACAGATAACTGGTAAAAATAACAAAGCCAAATAGCTATTCAGAAGTGTGAATCTTGGTAACAAATTTACACATAATGTCATAAGACTAAACGTAAAGTCACACAATCAGTCATTAAGAAGACATAGTCAAATTACTCAAGAATAGGTAAAGTAGACTAGTACACTGACTAAACCTAGACTTGAAATAAGTTTTAAGAAGAGAATTGCTTATTTTAAAAAATCAAAATTTTAGCAAAATGTGTCAGTCTGCTTATCACATTAACAAAAATGATGTATCTTAAATTGAAGGTGCCCATATGATTGACAAGAATATGATATTTGGATGACAGCAAATAACTAGAAGTGTAGTTGTCAAGTTCATTAGTTTGGTTGTTCTTTTGTTGAACTCCAATTTAAGAACGTAATACAAATCACCAACTCATTTCAAGCAGAGAAGAAGAAAATGATATGCGGAGTATCAAAATTGTTTTCTTCCAGGCTTCAAATCAGCTATACATAGACTGAAGTAAAAAAAGAAGCAACAGTTTGCATCTTACCCAGAAATGTTCGGGTGAATGCAATAAATAAGGATATCAACTGGATTTTGATTATATATTAAATATCTTGGAATAACGTTTTAACACTTGTAATCCCCTTTAATACATAAATATTTAACAGCAGATTCAAATTAAAGCCATTCAACGAAGTAATAATATCTGAAGTGTTTTAGGTGATCTATGACTTTAAAAACTAAGATAAAACACTTTAAATTAGGTGTATTTATTTTTTCTCGTCAAAGTAAAAAAAAAGTTCGAGGTTTATTACATTTTTATTATTCTCAAATATATCTATAATATTCTCAAACGTTACTCTAGTGATGAGGTCATTTACATTATTAGGAAAACATTTTTAATATATTTTATGGAATAACGTTAGTTTAAAGCAACCTTTTATGACAATATGTATAATACCATGTTTCAGTGCAAATATTGAAGAGAATCTACGAAAATTGTACTTGTTTTATTCCAAGTCATAAATCGATATCAAATGCAAAACACAACAGCATCTATTAGCTTCATTTTATTAATGCATAAACTATAAATACAGTTTGACGGAAACCAGTCAAATATTTTTTTTCATTTTAGTTGGAAACGATTATTTCGAAAATTGGATAAAGATGGTTCAGGTACTTTGGATTTTCATGAAATCTGTTCATTATTTGGTGGGGATAATTCTTCTGAAGTGAGAAAATCTGTTCGAAATTACATGAAACGATATGATACTGATCGAGATGGACGACTTAATATTAGAGAATTTTTAACATTTGTTGCTGAACAAGCTGAACATAGTGCAGTATAATAAACAAACAGAAAAGAATTATGTATTGAAAAATAACAGAGATTACATTTGTACAGAAATATTGATAACTTCCCCTTAGTATAAACAAATAAATGATCACTAAAATTTAAGCTAAAATAAGTAACCCGTTCTGTTTGTTTTCTGATATATTGGTTATATATTCATTTTTTTCAGAAATCAATAAATTCATTTCACAGAGTTAGAATTTTCGCAAGAGAATATATATGATGTCAGAATAACTCATTTCCAAATCCAAACTTCATTCAAATCTGAACTGTCTTCTTAAGTTGTAGTATACTTACTTACTTATACCTGCTATCCCGCGTGGAGGAGCACTGGCTACCCATCAGTATTCTCCAAGCAACTTTGTCATGGGCAATCCTTTCCTGTTGTTTACAGTTGCTGTTCATTCTTTTGATATCTGCTTCAAATCCTTGAGGCAATGTGTTCGTCGGTCTTCCTTTTTTCCGCTTCCTTTCAGGATTCCAAGTTAAGACTTGCCTCGTGTTTCAGTTTGATGATTTACGAAATGTGTATACTTTCCACACTTACAGCAGGTTGGTGTTGATGGAATCTGGCCAACAGACATCGGGTATCTTGTGTAGACAATTGTTTATAAATAATTGTACCATTTTGATGATGGTTGTGGTAGTTCTCCAAGTTTAAGTTCCATAAAGTAAAATTGTCTTGACGTACGTATTGCAGATTGTAACTTGGATATTGATTGACAGTTGTTTTGGGTTCGATATGTTCTTCAAATATAGGGATGCTGTCCTTGCTTTTCCAATCCTCGCATTTAAGTTTACATCGGGTCCTCCTTCTTTATCGATGATGCTACCCAGTTATGTGAAGGATTTTACCCCTTTCCAGAGCATTCCAATCAAATGTTTGCTTTCTTATTTGCTTCTGTGTATTCGGCATGTCTGTTGGCTTTCTCCGTTCTTGTTCAGCTGTTATTAATTGCTGTCTTCTTGCTCTTCCCTTCCTGAATCCTGCACAGGATATCAATATTCATTCATTCCTTATGATGATGCTTATTGCGACACAGAAATTCGTGACACGTTGGACTTAGTGCTTCTTTGATCCCTTTCCATTTGTCCTCCATTGTATTTTCCCCTTCTTTGAGTAGATCTTGTAAGGCTTGGAACCTGTTGTTGAGAACTACCTTGAATTCAGCGAGATTTTCATTGTCGTGATAGAAAGCTGCATTAAACCCATGTTATGCTGTTTCCCCAGTTGTCCAATGCTTCTACAGCTGTGGTGTGAGACCCATGTCGCTTTGTGCATGCGTTTGTGTGGGAATATTGTGCCACCTTTAACAAATTCGTCGAATGCATGTAGGTCTGCGAATCTCTCACCAATCTCGTTCCTCTCTCCCAGTTCATGTCGTCCCATGAAATCTCCATATCCGGTGTTGTCTATCCCGACTTTGGCATCTAGATCTCCTATCAGGGTGGTGAGGTCATTTCATGGGCACTTCGCTATGACCGATTGCAGCCTCTCATAGAACTGATGTTTATCGTTTTTGTTGGATTGATTGTTGGGTACATAACGTTAAATAATATTCATCGTGATTGCCTCCTAGTTTGTTTTGAAGGATGCTTTGACGATTCTGGATCCGTGAGATTCCCATCCTACAAGTGCATCTCGTGCTACTTTGGACAGCATTAGAGCAACTCCTTGAGTGTATGGTGCATTTTCCTCTTCGTGACTGGAGTACAGCAGCATCTCATCCTAATCTACCCAGGTCTGGTCCAATAGGTTTCACTGATTCTGAGAACCGCCAAGTTGTATCTCCTCATTTTAGTTGCTGTTTAACTGGTCCCACGTCCAACCGCCCATCTTTAACCGGGCTTGGAAACGGTAACAACCCTGAAATGGCCAGAGGAGTAGTTAAAATGAAATATAATCTAAACAAATATATAAATAAAAAATGTTCCGATATGTACATAATTTATTTACATTAAATTACGTTGAGCATTGATCGGTCGATTCATAATGGATCGATAAGTGACCGTTAAGTAATTGAATATTACCTACTTGTTTAAAATTTTTTTATTCCTTTTGTTTCCTGATAAAATTGATCATTATCGCAGATTAACGTGTATAGTCACTATGCTGATAAGATAATGATGATTTCTAGTGTTAATCTAAATGTTAAGTATTAATTAATATCACCGTTGATTTTTTGTCATTTCAACAGAAATCCAGGTTTGACTAAACATAAATACATTAAATTACATTCATGTCATCAATTTTTTTTGAATACATTGGTTCTTTTCTTCTTAAGTTCTAATATAACAAATGTTGAACAATAAGTTAATCTTATTAGGTTGTTATGGCTTCTGGATTGTAAGTAAAATTAGTACATAATATTGTAAGGAGTAAACGTTGAACTGAGTACATTTTTTCCAGTTGAGTAATGTTTATTGATTTACGAATCTCATAGAATAAAAAATCCTAATGAATAAAATTCATTTTCTACTCACGAGTTGAACAGTATGCAAAATTGCATCAGTATGGAGCTCAACAAAGTAGCCTAGTGATGCTCAAAATGATAGTTAGAGCTTAACACGGCCAAATGTGGATGAATATACTTTGGTAACATATCGCTCAACTTAGATCTTGTTATAAATGGTAAGGCGTTATCTAAGTTGCATACATTATTGTACTTAGGACTTAGGTACTCCTACAATTTTTCCTTCACAGAAAAGGTTTCGAAAGTGATTTCTAAGTCCCATCGTCATATGGGTTGCATAATTCGTAATCTTTATAACAAAAAGTCACTTATTTTGATGTAACAGTATATATTCAACCAATCCTAGAATACTGCACGTTTATTCTTGGTAGTGTTTGCACAAATGATAGATTAAGGTTTGAATCCGTTCAGAGACGATTTACATTTTGCATTCTTGGGACTAATTGTATCTAAAATTATAAGTCCAGATGTAAGAAACGTGAACTAGATTTTTTCTGGTAGAGGTGACCCAAAGTAAACCTAATATTTTTCTTCAAAATAATTAATCAGTTGTCTTTTACATCCTGTGAAGTAATTCAATATTCAGAAATTCCTAGTTACAACATCTGTAACTCTTTGTCATTTGTAAAACAACCAAATTCCAAATCTTCATGTATGAACTAATTTAGCAGGAAGTGTTCCAGACTCTGGAACAATTTACTACAATCTATCCGTGAGATAAAACCGCATCCTTTGTTCGCTGTATTGATGCTTACCTCTTCTCTAAAAATGCTTTAAGTACTCACACACCTGTAAATGTGTCTTATTTTACAATTGAGATTATGAGAATTTCAAATGTTTAAACATTTTTATTGCTAAATTCACTAAGTAAACCTCCCAACCTGCTGTTACTTTACATTAACACCGTTGTGAAATAATTTGAGTAATATCTAACACGAACAGTACATTATAAAGTAGCCTGACATATGTATTATGGTATACCTGGCTGACCTATCGTAGTTATTATTGCTCTGTTGTTCCATGCATTCTGTTTCTGTCTTATTTTCTCTAGTTGTAGATAGTTACAATGAATTCTTTGTGGCACAGGAAATGACCATATATGCATCGTTCATACATCAACAGGTTGTCAACTTAAAAGGAATTAAAAGTTCCAGGCTGATGCTTTTCATTGTTGTAATCTGAGTGAAAAATTTACTATCTAATCAAATTTTGAACTCGATTACTTCAAACAGTCTGATATCATATGTGTGTTCCCTACATTTAATATCACTATCTACATCAAGCTGATCATGCGCGTAAACAGGCATGAATCCTGTAATAATTATTTTCGGAATACATAATAATAATTATTATTACTATTACCTGACAACATCCAACAAAGAAAAAGTAGCAGACAATGCAAAAGAAATAATACAGAGCAGTTTGAAAGCATATATAGTTATAATTTACAAAATGATCAGTTATTTATTTGAAAATAAAACATGCTTAGTTAGGCATACTGATCATATTTTATATAAAGCAAAGTAGTTTACTCTCAAAATGATCATTTATGTTGTCTTTCTAAAAAAACTTATCTTATTCTATGGTTGACACTATTTGTAATAAAATCTGTATTCATAAATACTGCACGACACTTAAAAAATATATCCGTTGTTAATCATGATGTTTATACATGTTTCCATAAAAAATAATCTGTTTTGCATCTGGACATCAATGGACTGTATAATGAAAGAAACTGAAAAAAAAACAATGTTGGTTATTAAAAATAATGGATGCCGGCTTGGTGATCTAGAGGGTAGGTGTCCGCGCACGAGACCGAAAAACTTGGGTTCAAGTCCCTCATGCGGGATCGTGGGTGCACATTGCTGAGGAGTCGTATACTAGGACGGAGTGACCATTCATTTCTTCCAGGAATTCAGTGGTGGTGTAGCTTGCATCGACTCATGAATTTTACTATGTATAAAATGACTATAATTCCATAACATGAAACAAATTCAATGATCAATAATTTAAAGAGGTGACAAAATTAAGTTTTGTTAATCAATGGGTATGATAAATTTCAGATGACGTTGTCGCGTTTATGTTTTTTTCACATCTGATTGGCCAGTGGTTAGCAATGAACACAGAAATGAAGCTGAACTAAATATCATTTTTTGTTTTCTCCAGCTGTCATCGCTGAAGTGGTTGATATATAATTTGCCAAAACTCAACTGTCACATTCTCTAACTATTTCTTCTATACGAACATTTGACAGGAGAACTAGGTTAGGTTGAGTGATAGATACAACATATTGATTCATTTAAATAGTATTTTTTATGGAAGTTACAAAAACTAATACTTAAATACCGAAGGTTTAATAGTTGTATAAGTAAGTATAGTTGTCTGCACCATGTTTCAGGCATTTTAGTTAGTCTCACTGAGTAGCACTGGGTACTCGGTGATTGAGTTATAGTGATTATTTGATTTTAACACTTAGTTTATTAGCTGGAGGGTTTTATGAAAATTATACGTTGTATTTGTTGCAAAGTGATCTCGATAGGCATATCATTTAAAGCCAAGGAGAGCTGGACAACTATTTTGCCCTGCTTTAGAGCTCATTTTTGTACCCACTCTTGGCTCTATCACAGATTGATCACAGGATCTACATGTTTAGGGGTGGTAACTTACTAATTAGAACCACTTGGTTGGTGTCGTACAGTGGCATTGATGACAACTATATTCTACGTTTAATGTTTGATCTAGTTATTTCAGTCATTCTCCAGATATTCCATACAGTCTTTCTGAGTAGCGTCACTCATCCTCATTCGAAACTTTGTGTTGAAAGTTGGATAAACCATTCTATAATTGGTTGCTGAATTACAATGATTGATTGAACTAATTTAATACACAATATAAAGTTTAATTTCAATGTTCTATGTGGTGGTTGAAAATTGGAATAAGTCAGTTTTATCTATATATTTAGCTTTCTAAATGTAATACATCCGTAATTTGTAGACCTGACTGTGTAGATTTTTATGATTTAAGTTAAAATGGACTTATAAATTATGATTTTCTTATTTTAACTCAGTGCATCATTACTTTAAATGATTTGATGGATTATGTACATACCTTACGTTTGTTGTAATCTGAACATTTATAGGTTTAGCTAATCGTAAATTTATTTACTAATACAAGTTTGTATATACAAATCAATTCAGTTCATCACAGGTTATACAGTCTAATCTAATGATTGAAACATACCATTATTTAATATATATTGTTATGTTTTTGATTGAAATAATGAGTCAATTGTAGCTAGACCACCATGGAAAACCTGGAAGCGTTGGACAGCCGTCTCGTCCTAGTATGGGACTCCTCAGCAATGATGAGAACTTTTATTCTAATCTCAGCATTTGATAGTTGTATTACTGAACGCAAACTGAGTAATCACTTTAGATACCACCCATTTAAATACTGTTTTATACTTCAATTTATATCTAGATGATATTTCTAAATATGAATATCAACTGATTTTACCTAGAATGATTGGTAATTTTGTATTTTTGTTTTTTGGTATACCATTCAAAAAAAATATACATTTCTTATAATCATTTGATCTGTCATTTTTGACTTGAAAATACAAACTACACGCATATTAGTCGTTAGATTGAAGTTAGAAAAAATTTGATGGAATTTACTTTTTTTTAAAATAGAAAAGTTCTTAAACGAAAAGTTTCAATCCGGATTGTGTACTTATCTTTGAATTATCAACAGTTTTTGATTGGTTACCATAGCTGCAATTTTTTTGTTACTGTATAGTTTGATAATTGATTTTTAAGAAAGAAATAATTTTACATCAAACAAACTAGTGAAGTACCATTTTGTTTTTTTGTTTTTTCATTTACATATTAAAATGTATTTTTTTAATGTCACAAATATGTCTATTGTAATTAATCTATATTTTGTTTATGTAAATAAGAAACTAAATCAGTTTTATGAAAACGAACGGCATCATATGACTTTGTAAAATAATCAACATTTCAACCAAAATATATTCTGTTATGGTCATTATAAATAAAAATTTAAACAATGTCATTCATATTTCATGTCAGTGGAACAAGATCTATTTGTGATAATAAAAAAATTTACAATTAATAAAAATGCGGTCACCTTAATTGTGTAGTGTAATGACATAAGGTAATAGGTTAGAATTAGAGGGTTGTTTGCTTCTGATAAATTATTATGGATTTCAGTTTCAAATTTATTAGGGGTTATAGACCCATGATCTGACCACATATTTGAATGATGTAATAAAATGCAAATGTCGTAGATATTTTATTTACGTATCCCTTCAGTAATAATGTAGTCATGAGATTTTGATTATGAAAGTATTTGAGGAACATATATTTCAAACATTCTATAAGAGATGAAAGAAATGGATATGAACAGGAGTGATAGAAATGGCCAACTCAGTAAAAGGTAGGTGATTCCGTCTTTGTTAAACCGCAAAAGATATAAGTATGCAGGCGAATAACTCGGCCTGGGCCCCTCCGGGGGCCCTTCCATCCCAAACGCATAAACAAATACAGGAGAAGACGATCAGTGTAGCAGCAGCCTCAGCAGCAATAGGTCTCAATATACACAAAGGGAAAAGCAAAATTCTCCGATGCAACACAGCATGCACCAATCTAGTCACAATTGACGGAGAAGATTTGGAAGATGTAAAAACCTTTACATATCTGGGCAGGGTGGATCTGATGCAGATGTGAAGGCGCGGATCGGCAAGGCAAGAGCAGCATATTTACAACTGAGGAACATCTGGAACTCAAAGCAACGTTCAATCAACACCGAGGTCAGGATTTTCAATACAAATGTCAAGACAGTTCTACTGTATGGGGCAGAAACCTGGAGAACTACGAAAGCCATCATTCAGAAAATACAGGTGTTTATTAACAGTTGTCTACGCAAAATACTTCAGATCCATTGGCCGGACACTATTAGCAACAACCTACTGTGGGAGAGAACAAACCAGATCCCAGTGGAAGAAAAAATCAGGAAGAAGCGCTGGAAGTGGATAGGACACACACTGAGGAAAGCATCCAACTGCGTCACAAGACAAGCCCTCACATGGAATCCTGAAGGTCAAAGGAAAAGAGGAAGACCAAAGAACACATTACGCCGAGAAATGGAGATAGACATGAGAAAAATGAACAAGAATTGGATGGAACTAGAAAAGAAGGCTCAGGACAGAGTGGGTTGGAGAATGCTGGTCAGCTGCCTATGCTCTATTGGGAGTAACAGGCGTAAGTACTGGACTGGCTTATATGCATATGTGAACCAAAAAGCTTAGTTGCACTAGACATACCATAGTTCATATGATATGCACATACCATAAATAGATGATGTGCAGTATTGTTTCTAGAAGAAGAAACTTTGTAGCAATGTCAATTTGTAATCGAATTATTATTATGCTCCCTTTCACTACTAAGACAATTAAAGTGAATTAAAGAACCTTAACAAAATGATAGACCACTAAACATCTATTTCGTCATGATTTGTGACTCTCTAGTAAAGGTTAATAGGGTTCAACATGACAGGGACCGCTGTTTTAAAGATTAAGGACAAAAACAGTTTCCATAAACTACTGAACTGAAATTCGTTGGTTCACTATCCAACCTTAGTTATACTTCAGTTCTATGTGATTATCACCCGATGTCATCGGTGATAACAGCCTTAATCTTTTTCACCCTCCATTCAGAAACTGCTAAACTGATACAGCACTGAAAAGGAATGATTGATTTGCAACTTAGTCGACAGGATATCAAGATACTGCTGAATTTTCATTTAAACGCATCAGTTTTTCAAAAGGCAGCGACAGATTAATAAAAGTATTTATCGAGTTCTTACTCATGAGTAGTTAAAACAGTTTGAGTAAATTATCAATAATCGAATCAGTCGTTAAAAAATTCCCATTATGCTAAAACTGAGATGTATGAACGAAGAATATTCTTTTCAATAATTTCTCATCAGGTTCTACAATTAAATACGTCCAAATTCATAATTCGAAAAATGGGCGGGTTTAGGGCAAAGCACATCATAAATGATGTAAAGCATTTAAATTAAGGATTGTTAGTAACGTAAAATCAAATCAAATTGTTAATGTTGAGATGACCAATATGAAGTGTGAACTTGAATACGTTCACACGCTAAATGAAGTTATGCGATAAATGATCGGAATAAATGTGGTTGACATAGTGTGAGGAGGATAAAAATGTAATTAAAAATCACATATCATGTAATATACAGAATAATATGAATTGGGTACGAATTAGTGGATGCTGAATAAATTTCCCAAAAACGTTGGGAGGCCTTATATTCATAGTAATAATAATAATAGTAGTAATAATAATAATAATGAGAGGTGTGAATACTATACGTTTGGACCATACAAACGAATACTGATCAAATTACGTCATCTTATCATAAAAATGATTATTAACTAATGAGGTCAGAAGTTGGTCAGGGTAAAAGGAGCAGTTGAACACATTTTTTTCTGGACGCATACCTCTTACCTTTTTATCTGAATAGCGATTTCTTCAGCCGTCTGGAGAACACACAGTCTGACAAATTTAGGCAGATTGCTGTTAA